ACATAATCATTGTCTCTAATAATTATTAGATGATTATGTAGCATGTAGTTCTAATAATTATTAGTAGGCTATATTTATAACATTGTCTCTAATAATTATTAGAGACAATGTTATAAATATAGCCTACTAATAATTATTAGAACTACATGCTACATAATCATCTAATAATTATTAGAGACAATGATTATGTAGCATGTAGTTCATATTATCAATATTATATATTTCTATTATGCCATCATACATACTAAGTATGCTTAAAATACATTAGTTTGTAATTGTAATCATTTCATCTACTGTTTTCTGTTTAATTATTTTCTAACATTTACATGTTAGTGAATAAAGGAATTTATTTCTGTTAAAAACTTTTGTCATGTTGGTATGATGATTTCATTTCTATAAATAAAAATTTTTCCAATACATTTTTCTTTTCATTTATCAGCCGAAGCATAAAAAAAGCTGATAGAATTTATGAACTATTTGTGCATCAATATCCATAATTGCAAATTCGGTTATTGTACATGAAAATGATTATACACTGATTATATATATATGATTACACAATCCATAAAGCATACTCTTTCATAATTTCTTTATTATATTTTAATTTGAAAATACATTTATTACTTAAAAAATTATTTAAAATACAGTTATTTTGATTTTATTTTAAAATTGTTTTATTGCATTTCCTATATGTAATTTTAACTATGCAAACAGAATTTTGCCTATAAAAAATATTTATTCAAAATTTTTAAAGAAGTTGAATTTATAATAGTTTTCATTAATTCACTCTTCTTAAGTATTTCTTTTTCCCATTTGAAATCCATAACAGCATATAAAATTTTATATATATATATGCAAAAATGACAAAAATCATTATTTTTCATGTACAACTTTATCAATTACATACTAAATCTATTTAAAAAGAAATAAAATTATAACAAAATGAAAATATTTACTTGATCACATGATCCAACATGACATCTTTGACTGCAATGATGAATTCCACATGATAAGAGTTTCTCACAAGTATCTCCACAAGTCGGAATGTCTTCAGTACAAGGTAACTGCATTGCTATCAATATATGTAAAATATTTTTTGAATTTAATTGTTCAATAATAATAAATGTAAGATTTTTGCCACTAATTCCAGTGTACTATGTAATAAATAATCATCATACTACAATAATTATATGATTTTTAAAGAAACTAAAAAATGTTTGCTTAAAAAGTTAAATTTTTGCTCATTATTTCAGATGATAAATATTTATATAAAAAAATAAAATTATTTATTTTAAAATTTAAAGTTTTAAATAACTATTTTTCTATATGAAAATACTTAGACTTCTAGTTAGTTCATGCTATTATTTGATTTATTAATTTGTCATTAAAAGGTTGTATAAGACATATGCCAATTCCAAATTCCTTTATTATTTATTAAAATGCTACTTCATCTAACTGCTTAAAATTCTAAATTCAAAATTTAACTCAAATTTAATTGAAATCTAAAGAATTATTATTTATTATAATGTTCAATATTATACATATTTTGTTTCATTTTAGTATGACATTTTATTTAAATAATAAGATTAATATTTTAGTTATTGATCAATTACAACAAATTTTTAAAAATTTTATGAATTAATTTCAAAAATTAAACTTTATATAATTTTATATACAGTATGCATTTTTTTATTTTAAACAATTAATAAAAACATTTTTCATTATTTAAACAATAAGATTAAGAATCTATTACTTTCTTGTTTCAATTTTGTTCCTACAAAAAATATTAAACATTTTTTTTAGTTCCAACAATGTTTACAGAGAAACTAAATACAAGTTATCAAAAATATCATAATCAGAAGCCAACTATAAATTAACTTAAAGGTAGCTTCTGATCCATTAAAAGAGAACTTAAATTCATTTATAGTTCTTTTAAAATATTTTAGTTAGTTTAGTTCTTTTTTAATAGCTCAGAAGCTACCTAAAACTTTATTATCTACATTACTACATATATATTGAGTGACTACTTTATTAAGCACACCACCTATTGAGAAAACAATAGAGAGGTTGCGGCCAAAGTTCAAATGTTAAACTTGTATGGCAAGCAGAATTACACGTTTGAATTTTGAACTCCCATATCAAACATGTTGCATGTTCACATGTTCACGTTGCACACTGACTCATGGGATATTGTTGAAAAATTTAACAATGACGAATGTTACTAGCAAAGGTAAATAAACAAATTAAACTATTTTAAAGTATTTATACGATGTTTAATAACACTAAATAATTATTTTTAATTAGCGTTGTCTCTCCTACCATATGATAGGACAATAAGACTACCTCATACTTTTGTTGAGGGAAGTAGTGGCTTATGTAAATCCGAAAGCAGCTTGGAAAATTATTTTTAGAAAATTTACAAACATATTACATTGTTGATGGTAGAAGATGCTGTGAAAGAACAAACCTACACCTACAGAATTATGATAAGCTATTATGAACAGAAATATATGTAAATTCTATAGGCACTTCACATCACTTGCAAAAAAAATTGAATAATTAAATAAATCTGAATTAAAATCGTCTGTTTCTTTACATTATTATTCATAAATGCTTAAATAATCATTATTTTAATAAAATACATCATAATTTAAACCCCAAACACAAAACAATGAAGTTTAAGCCAAACTTCTACTCGCCATGCTAGACATAGCCAACGCCATTATCAACCTTCTAGAATTGCCAGATGGCAGTGCTCGATGTCCAACGTTCACGTTTTGGCTGAAAACGTCTGCCACAACCTCTCTAATTTGTGCAGAAATGACAAAACAGGAAATTACATGACTGCAGTCCAGTATCACATCATTGGCTATTGCTTAAATTTGCTTGAGTTTAAATATAAGAATGGTAAAAGAAAGATTTAAGTGAGCTTGAACATGGCATGATTGTCTGTACATGATGCAGTGGTTCTAGTCACAGAAACTGCCAACCTTTTTGGCTTTTCTTGAATGACAGTTTCTGGAGAGTACCAAGAATAGTGAAATACACAAACAATTTCCAGCTGGAGACAGGCCTGTGGCTGACAACAGCTTGACAAAAAGAAGGGTCAAAAAAGAATCAAGAGGATTGTTCACACCAATTGGTATACAACTGTTTATGAAAACAAAGACCAACAAAATTGCTGATTATGTATGTAACAATGATGTAACAATGTCCAGTGAGTGGTTCATTCAGAGATGCAGAATAGCATGTCAATGTCTCACTGCACATTGTTAAATGGTCTATAACAGCAAATGACCCATATAAATTCCATTCCTCTAGGCAAAAAGCAAGACTTTAGCTTTGGTGGTCTTCAATATTAAACCTTATAATTTTTTTAGTTTAGTTTTACTGCCTTCAGTTCTATTTTAAAATATTAGTCATGTATAATAAAATAAAACTTTAATGAATTATCATTTAATATTTATCAAACTACAACAACTGCCATATGACATATGGCAGTTGTTGTAGCTTTATTGTAATGTATCAGGTTTTGTAAAAATCTTTATATTAATATTTATCTATAAAGTTATACATACATGTTTTACCACATGGGCAATATCTATGAGCNAAAGACCAACAAAATTGCTGATTATGTATGTAACAATGATGTAACAATGTCCAGTGAGTGGTTCATTCAGAGATGCAGAATAGCATGTCAATGTCTCACTGCACATTGTTAAATGGTCTATAACAGCAAATGACCCATATAAATTCCATTCCTCTAGGCAAAAAGCAAGACTTTAGCTTTGGTGGTCTTCAATATTAAACCTTATAATTTTTTTAGTTTAGTTTTACTGCCTTCAGTTCTATTTTAAAATATTAGTCATGTATAATAAAATAAAACTTTAATGAATTATCATTTAATATTTATCAAACTACAACAACTGCCATATGACATATGGCAGTTGTTGTAGCTTTATTGTAATGTATCAGGTTTTGTAAAAATCTTTATATTAATATTTATCTATAAAGTTATACATACATGTTTTACCACATGGGCAATATCTATGAGCAGCTCTAGGACAGTTATATATTTCTATTATGCCATCATACATACTAAGTATGCTTAAAATACATTAGTTTGTAATTGTAATCATTTCATCTACTGTTTTCTGTTTAATTATTTTCTAACATTTACATGTTAGTGAATAAAGGAATTTATTTCTGTTAAAAACTTTTGTCATGTTGGTATGATGATTTCATTTCTATAAATAAAAATTTTTCCAATACATTTTTCTTTTCATTTATCAGCCGAAGCATAAAAAAAGCTGATAGAATTTATGAACTATTTGTGCATCAATATCCATAATTGCAAATTCGGTTATTGTGCATGAAAATGATTATACACTGATTATATATATATGATTACACAATCCATAAAGCATACTCTTTCATAATTTCTTTATTATATTTTAATTTGAAAATACATTTATTACTTAAAAAATTATTTAAAATACAGTTATTTNATAGTTTTTTGTACATGATTCGTTATCCGAAAAATAAGTTATCCGAACGACCCCAGTCCCCAATTGATTCAGATAAACGACGCTCTACTGTATTTGTCCTGGCAATTTTTATTTAATGTAATTATTATTAATTTTAATTTGCTGTGCTACCACTAGAGGACTTTCGTAACTATTTTACATTTTTTGGTGAATAGTAGCCTACAAAGAAAGAGTGACTTCGCCGACGGAATTGTTATTGCCTCATATAGCGTGTGAAGAGACAAAAAATGGACTAAGACTCATCTATGTATGTATAGTCAAAAAGAAATATATTTTTCTATAAAAAAAACTTTACAATACTTTATTTGTAATTTGAAGAGCTGTTTCCATGATTGTTATGTCACTTAGATTCAGAAAAATTATAATATTCTATAAAGCTTATTAATTTTTCTAAACTTTTAAAAAGAAATAACATTAGTAAACTATTGAAAAATAGATAATTTCATCACTTACTTGCAAAGCTGTTTACATTTTGGAGGTTTTGTGGTTTTCTGTCTCCCACATGGTACAACAATTTTACTAAAACCACAATTACATGTTACATCAATCCTTTTTGGGCAAGGATAGCAGGGACCTAATGTATAAATTGACAATACAATTATTATGTTATAAATCATTTTATAAAAAAATATTAACAAAGATAATAAATTATACCTAAATGACATCGGCTACTACATTTGTGATTTTTGCAATTTAATGTGCGTCCGCATAATTGTTCACATGGTGGACAATTTCCATCACAGCACTGAAAATACATTATTTAATTATATAAGATTTCATTTGGAAAAGTAAAACTGTTTTATATATATATGGTATTAATATTATGATAAAACATCCTTACTACACCCGATACGTTTAAACCTATACGCGTGTTTATATGAATATGGTCGCAATTTTTTAGCTGTCATATAGGAATCCAAACTATATGAACCTGTTTTATAAGGGAGAGTCTACTGTATATATAATTGATTGTTAAAATTTTAGTTATTGACCAAATGCTTTTATATTACTAACGGCCATCCACAAAGGGTATATATATTGAAAGAGTACATGATGTTAAGAGGTCTAATTTAAAGATATGAAGAATTCTGAAGGAATAATGAAAAGTGCTAATGCAGAATATTCAAATTTCTGATTAAAATGTTAACTTTGTTTTATTGACTATTCTAAACTTAATTCTATTAATTATACATTGAGATTTCAGGAGGAGAGGTGGACCAAAGATAAAAATTTTGTCATGGCCACTTATAAGAATTCTGAGTGGTCCTGATATTATTACATTCTTTACTTAATTACTGTAAGTAATAATTAAAACTTTCAGTTTGTATAAAAAGTGATTCAATTTCTATTGTTTAAATCAGTGTTTCCTAAAGTTTTGCATACCCTTTTTTAAATTTTTTTACCTCCTTGCAAAAAAAAAACTTTGCAGAGTACTCAAATGTAGAACTTATCACAACTTAAGTAAGAGAATTCATACAAAATATATAATTAATTGAAATATAAATACAAGTAAATAAAATAATTTGTTACTGAAGCATTTTTTCTTTATAATGATTCTTGTGTCACTTGTACAGTACATAGCAAAAATTGCTATATGTTACATGAAGATCTTTTGTGTATCCCAGGAGTACAAGTTACACTTTGAGAAAATGATTTAAATATTATGTAACTCAAGACACAGATAACATATTGTATTCAATAAATAATTTTTCTTAAAAGCTACAATTAAATTTTCATCCCATATTTTCAAAATTAGCATCAATACAAATAAACTTTACAATAAATAAAAATTGCCAGGACAAATATGACATTTATAAAAAAAATATATTTCTTTTTAACTATACATGCAAAGAAATATATTTTTCTATAAATGTCATACAGTAGAGCGTCGTTTATCCAAAAGCTGGTTATCCGAAACGTCTGTTATCTGAAAGCATTCCAGTCGGCAAATTTAAATTTTCGCTAGTGCTGTGGCGCTGCAATCTTCGGCTATTTCTCGGGCTACTCAAATATTTTACGTTTTTGATACTAAATTAACATCTGAAGTATAATTTTTTATTGTTTTTATATTTTTCAATAAATTTATTTTGTTTGTACAAAATAAAAAAATAATTTTTAACGATACAATAGTCTTCGTTAGGCTTAACATCGACGAAAATTCAACGCGAAGCGACACGCAACGGAGA